GAAATGAAAAATGTCTTATCCAAATGAAGCAATCTAATTGCATAGTCACTTGACTTCAACACCAACACCAGAAGATGTTCGTAGTTCCTCCCCTTCCTCGTCCTGCACCTGCTTAATGAAACGCCACCACAATGATGTCTGGTTTCACGGTCACTCTCATGGACGAGTTCCTTACACCGGCAGCGAAACATGGCGCATCTCGTGTGCAAAGAGAACCGGTAAACAGAGGTACCCCTCCGAGAAGAAGAGGCTGAGAACAAAGCACAAATAGCTCTTATCCGACTCCAAGGAGAAGGACAAGTTTGAGGGCACGTGGAGGCTCTTCAAGCTCGCCGTTCCACTTGATCAAGATCCCGGCAAGGACCATGTTTCCAATGCCCTTCTCCAGCAAATTGCCAAAGTTCTTAAGTTCCCGGTACTCAAACAAAACCCACCCTTCCAACTAAGAGAAACCGATAAAGAAATATTCTTTAATTTTCATTCCCTTCTCTCTTTCTCAGGTTGCTTCTCTGTTGCTAGCAGAAGCTTTCACCGTCGTTAGGAAGTCTTTTGATGCTTGAAAGGTATGTTTTAATATCAGTTGTTCAATGACAAACTAAAATTCACTCTTCAATATGCATTTCAATTCTCTACGTTAAAACAAATTTGAGAGAGGGAAAGAGACAATATAGGTTAAATGGAAAATGGGGGCGGGCATTGTCTGGAATAGTGGGGTGGCTGATATGAGCCAATTGTGGTCGCATTACAGTTGTAGAGGCCTCCAAAATCCAAAGTATTAATCTTTTATAGCAATTGCAGTTGTACACGGAATTTTAACTTTCTAGTCATAATAATTAGCTCGAGGTTTGAAATATTTGACTGTAGTAAATGTTTGGAATGGTATTGTGCAATTGTTAATTATTTTTGTTATGTATGAATTAGATGTTTTGTATTTCAATTATTCGGTTATGACTTGTGTGTGTCAAACAATAAACAAAATGCAGAACATAAACCTGAGGAGATAAATCTATACACGTGTGGAATCTTTGAAGCAGTTAGTTTCAATTTGAATTTCTATAGCTTATATAATTCCATTTGCGTCCTCTTATTTTGTTTTTCTGATTTTTTTTTAGAAATTAAAAGAGCCCAAATTTGTACATACTGTGGATATGGATGTCCAAAAGCTCATCAGTCTGGAGCCTCGTTGTTGGGACTTTATTTCACGGCTGGAGCCTAAAGTTGGCCTTGTGGAACGTGTGCATGATGAAAGAGATTTTGCTGAACTGGAAAGTATCATTCGTGACTGTAAAGAAAATAAAGAAGCTGCTTTGGCCGGGGGAAATGGACATAGCATTTTCTCAACGGAGTTGTGCAAGAACCAGGCTTCTAGGAAGCCAAAAATTGCGATATTGGGTAGTGGGCCTTCTGGGTTATTTGCAGCTCTTGTTCTTGCTCAGCTAGGTGCAGATGTTACACTGATAGAAAGAGGTCAACCAGTAGAGAGAAGAGGGCGTGATATTGGTGCTCTTATAGTACGTCCAATTTTAGAATTGGAAAGTAACTTCTGCTTTGGGGAGGTTGTACTATGCATCTTGATTTATTTCTCTTAATGATGGTTTGTTGTCTCACTATGATAAATGGTGCATTCATGATTACATCATTCATCACTTGTCTTAAAATGAGTTTGTTTTTGGATTTCTTACTAGGTCCATTCAACTCTTATTTTAAATTTTGCATTAACTAGTCAGGTTTTGACAAATGTCATTTTTCTCCAAAAGAAAACACATGGGAATATTCTTTTGTTCCATTTTTGCAACTTTGTCGCTTGTTACTTCAATTTGAATTTTCTTCAGAACCTCTACAAAACCCAGCAGTCAAGTAGATTATGACATGTTTGATTTAATGGAAATAATGTGTACTTTTTTAATGGTCATCTAGGCTTCAATATTTATACATTGCTTAGGAATTTTGAAATCATATGAAAATTATAATTGGGTTTTTAAAGGTATTTTGCTCAGCTCATTTGTGATTCTCATGTTTCTTTATTTGTCTAGTCTCTCTCATATGAGTCTGCTTGTTTATTTACTTTGTCATTTATTAAGGACTTATGTGTGGCAGGGTGGTGCAGGTACCTGGAGCGATGGAAAGTTTGTAACCAGAATTGGACACAACAGTGGCAGTGTTCTTACCGTTAGTCCTCCTATTTAGTATTTATAAAGTTTATATGTGCATCCTGTGTATGTGTTAAATTAACGGATTTTGCTTGTAGACTTGTCAAGAAAACATTTCTAACTGATAAATGGTTTACTTCTACCCTATGAGGATAATATCGGATACTCTCATAATTTGTGATGATAATGAATGCATTCTGTTGTTGCCTCTGTCTGTAGTCCTTCCTTAGACAAAGCACTGTCTGTAGTCCTTCCTTAGACAAAGCACCAAGAGAGCTTTTCATTGCAAGTTTTCGGGACCTGCCGATAAACCAGAGACAGAAAACTAAAAGATATTATCTGTACTATTGAAACTGAATTTATCCTATACGAATACACCAGAGACAACTCTATATATTGATCTGATATAAAAAGAGAACTGGCAACAGACAGTTATAACATACTAACTGCCCCGGAGTTAGCTTTATAAAACTAACTCTCTTACAATATTCATTCAACCCTAGAAAATCAAGGTGTCTGAAATGAAGATGGAAGCGTAATCACCCTAATAAACAAAAATTAAATAGTGGAGAGGGGTTTGGTGAGAACATCAACCCATTGATCTTGAACAAGAATGTACTGAGTAAGAAGTTGCTTGGCAAGAACCTCTTCTCGGACAAAGAACAAATTGATATATATAGTTTTTACGAGCATGCAAAATAGAATTGCGAGCAAGAGACACTGTTATTTTGGTTCTCACAGTAAATAATTGGAGTTGAAAAAGGTACTTGTAGTTCTGTTAGAATTGTTTCTACCCAAATAACTTCATGAGTAACTTGAGCAAGACTCCCCTATTTCAGTAGTGGACCATGCTACAACAGGTTGGTTTCAGGACCACCAAGAAAATATGATTTGGTNTTTATAAAACTAACTCTCTTACAATATTCATTCAACCCTAGAAAATCAAGGTGTCTGAAATGAAGATGGAAGCGTAATCACCCTAATAAACAAAAATTAAATAGTGGAGAGGGGTTTGGTGAGAACATCAACCCATTGATCTTGAACAAGAATGTACTGAGTAAGAAGTTGCTTGGCAAGAACCTCTTCTCGGACAAAGAACAAATTGATATATATAGTTTTTACGAGCATGCAAAATAGAATTGCGAGCAAGAGACACTGTTATTTTGGTTCTCACAGTAAATAATTGGAGTTGAAAAAGGTACTTGTAGTTCTGTTAGAATTGTTTCTACCCAAATAACTTCATGAGTAACTTGAGCAAGACTCCCCTATTTCAGTAGTGGACCATGCTACAACAGGTTGGTTTCAGGACCACCAAGAAAATATGATTTGGTTCAAAAGAGACGGCAGCTCATGAGGTATATCTTCTGTCATCAGGGTCAACAGCCCAGTCAACATCACTAAAGGCTTGAAGAGAATAAGGTTGACCAGCAATTGCAGTTTGAATATGTATGCGATAAAGGGTACCTTTAAGGTACTTAAGAATTCTCTTGTTAGCAGCTCAATGACACTCAAGACGCTTGGCCATGAATTGATTTCGTTCACAAGAAATCTTATTTCAGATCTGGTGATTTTAGCATACTAAAGTGCTCCAACCACTACTGGATTAGGGTTGAGTGAGGTAGAAGCATTTTTAGAGAGTTTACAGGTAGACATCATAGGAGAGGATATGGCTTTTGCTTGTAGCATATTTCTCTTTTGCAATAGGTCTTTAATATACTTGCTTTGCGTAAGTAATACTGATCCAGTATGAAGGTTCATAAATTGAATACCAAAAAAATAATCAAGTTGTCCTAACTGTTTGAGAGAAAGTATGACTGAGCTGAGCAATAATCTTCTGAGTAAGACAAGGAGAAGTGTCAGTAATTATTATGTTATCTGTGAAGCCAAATTGTAGAATTGTGTTTTGTCACTTGTCAAAGCAATTCTTTGGAGCTTATTCAAGGCCATAGAAAGCATTATTTAACTTGCAGATGCGTGAGGAATCAACAGCCTCAAATCTTGGAAGTTGCTGTATTATTTAGATAGTCTCTTCAAGAAGTCCATCCAGAAATGCGTTGTTAATATAAAGTTGATGCAAAACCCAATGCTTAGGTAGAGAATGGGTGGTAATTAATTTGATAGAAACAGGTTTGATAACTGGATAGAAGGTTTTAGTAAAATCATATCCAGAGTGTTGACAAAAACATTTAGCTACTAATCTGGCTTAACTTTTCTCATAGTACCATCACTTGCATCCTATACTATAACTTATTTTATATCATACAACTGCAGTTAATAGGATTGCAGTTATTAAACCTTTTAATATGAGGACTTAGGGTATATATATATATATATATATCATAGAAAATTACTTATCCTATGCTATAGAAACTGTCTGATATGGTAGCAATTATTCATGGAAAAACTGATGGTACTCATATTAGGATTATATCTTATAGTAGGGTGTTTAATTAGGCAATTGTCTTGTTATCTGTAGTGTGTGGACTGAGAATACTGTCTAGTCTCCATCGGATACTTTCTTTTCTCTGGGACAACAAATGTATTGTTGTATTGTATGTCATTTCTGTGTACAATATAGTTGAAGACATAGTTTTTATGAATTGCTTGAGTGCAAAAGAATTGAACAGGCCATATATGAATATACGTTTCAGAAATAATTTCATTTTTAAAGAGTACATAAAATGCAATTCCCTAAGTACATAATATATTCTGGCTGTTGGTCATTCTGCTCGTGATACATATGAAGTACTTCATGCTAACAATGTGGAATTAATACCAAAAGATTTTGCCGTGAGTTTATATTGACATAGTATTTAAATCTTTATTTCAATTTATTAAAGTTGGTATGCTTATTTGTTCATAATCATCTGTTTGCATATCCGCATGTAAGATTTGTATATTCCTCAAACTGTTCCAACTTCCAAATGGTAGTGCTGTACTGCCGTGCATTGTTTACAAGTTAGGCTTGATTCATGTGGGTTTATTTTAAGTTGGTTCAGTTTTTGTTTGATATTCATCATTTGACATTAAGATTATCTTTTATTCTTGTCTTTCCCATATGACTCTTACATTTGATGGTGCGAGTTTTAACACTTGAAAGGATTGAAAATCTCACCTGACATTGCAGCATTGGAGCTTATTGATCATTATAAAATTTCAGGGCATTCTGAACAATATCAAATTAATGCATTATTAATCCATTAGTCGCTAGGAGAACGGCCTACATTAAGTTGTCTTATGGAGGGCCAATCTGCATAAACTGTACATTTACTGGATTTTTAAATTTTCTTTTGATGGAGTGAAATATTTCTCACAGTGGTAGAGATGCCTCTAAATTGACTAAATGCAATTTTATTTGATGTAAGAGGAAATAAAAAGAACAGTAAAAATCAAGTGGGTTAGGCATCCTCGCAACACAAGAAACATCTTTCAAAATTGACTACAATAATTAGAAAAATTAAGCAATGAAAATAGACTACTGTTAAGACTCTGGCAAGTGTACCGAATCGTATCAAGTAATATAAATGGTAAGACCAAGTATCGTTTTCCCTAGAGACTCATTGGCCTAAACAATCATGTGATTTGTTGATTATTTAAGACTTGAGAACGAAAATCAGTGTTTATAATGCAAAAAGTAAATATGAATGCAAGGGTTGATCAATTGACCAAAAGAATACGCAGGTGATTGGTGTATAAAGTATTGAATGATTATGTTGTTGGGGTTTCCGACTTATCCTATCCACTCTCATGTATTTATGAATTCAACTCCTTCTTTAATGTTAATGTCACTTTCTAATTTACTTTAAATGCGATGTCTCAGTGAAGAAAACCTACTCTTAATTACTAGTTCACAATGTCTTGTATCCCTAGCAACTAATTATGCATTATGTAATATTGCTTTCGGGAGAATTTCCCCAGTTCTATATTTCCCCGTATGTGTCCATATCGACAAAATCAATGATCATGCAATTGAATGAGTTAAACAAAACATGCAAAGAGTGTAGAGGAAGAACCCTAACAATTAAAGAAGTAAAACATATATATTAAAAATCAATTCAATACATGAGAGTTTCAAAGGATTACATCATTTCCCCAACAATAATGGAGGTTTAGTTCACCATAGACATGGTGAAACTAGATGAAAATAATGAAAGATAGAACCCTAAAAGTTGTAGATTGGAGCTTCCGCATCCAAAATCCGCCTCCAAGGGGTGAAGAGAGTGTTTCTGCGCCTCTTTATGTCAAAAGATAGACCCTCTAGGTCGTCTAAACCCTTATATAGTTTATAAAAAAAAGCAGAAACTGGCCCAGGCCCACATAATCAGCGCTCAGCGATAGGTGCGGCACTCCAATTGACGCTCAGCGGTGGCACCCAGGTGCGAGATAGGAGCAAAACTAGAGACTCTGGCGCTCAGGCGCCAGACAGAGAACTCAACAGCAAGCTTGGCGCTCAGCGGTGGCGCTTAGGCGCCAGATAGTGGACTCAACAGCAGACTTGGCGCTCAGCAGTGAAAGTGGCGCTCAGTGCCAGCTGCGATTCTTCTTTTGTGCTATTTCTCCTCTTGTCTTGAGTCCAACTCCTTGCTACTTCAACTTCTTTCATCCAATTCATCTTAATTCCTGCCAAAACAAGGAAAACCAAGCATAAAACCAATAATACCACCTTCAACTCTCTTATTCTCTTATCTTAAGCAAAAACATGATTTCAAGCTAGTTTCTAAGTCATAAAAGGTGTTTTTAGTATCAAAATTAAGTATAAAATAACGGTGTTTTCAACCGTTATCAACTACCTTTTCTCGAACCAAAGGCCCGAGAGATAGAATCTTGTAACAAGGCATTCCAATCTCTATATGTCATACATAATGAGCAGAACACCAAACATAGGGAATAGATCTTCTCATCTCTGAAGAAATGTTGGATTTCCTCAAGTTTTTCTTTGTTGATCGTCTGGATATCCTCAAGTGTTAAAATCTTACCTTCTACTTTTCTAAATCTCAATTTTAGAATTAAAATATTATGTTATGATTATTTTTTAATGAGCAGATACATGCTGTGATAATGCCACTGCAGAGAATCCTATTCCCACTAGAAAAGCAAAAACAATAGCCTTGTCCCAAACTGTTGGGAATTCAAGTATGAGTGTAAGTCTCATTTGGTAAAAATAAGAAAATTGAGCATCATATAAGAAAAAAGACCATAAAC